TTTCTGTCTCAGCCACTCCTGGACACACTAAACACTTTCAGGTAGGTACTTACTGCTCAAATGCAGGTTAGGGATTCCACCAGCAAGAAGCTTAATAATAATAATAATAATGATAATTATAATAATAATGATGTTAGACCTGCGACAGACTGGCGACCTGTCCAGGGTGTACCCTGCCTCTCGCCCTAACACAGCTGGGATAGGCTCCAGCGCCCCACCCCCCGCGCCCCTGAAAAAGGATGGATGGATGATTATGATGGTGTTTTTTGTGTGTTTTTGTTTTTGACATTTATGACAGACGTTATATGTGGAGCCAGGCCTGTGTCTCTGTGACTGCCCAGGACTGGTCATGCCCTCCTTCGTTTCTACCAAAGCTGAGATGATCTGCTCTGGGATTCTGCCCATAGACCAGATGAGAGACCACGTACCTGCGATCTCACTCATATCCTTTACGTGACAGAAAGCTAGACTCTGCCTGTTCTGCTTTATAATTGATTCTGATGCTTACGACACGTAGTTCTTAACAGATTGGTCACATATGTCAGACGATCCCTCGACACGTGTTAGAAGGCACCTATGGCATCAATATTATCAGACCGCGGGAAGATGAAGACCCTGACAGACCGCCCACTGCGGAAGAGCTGCTGATGGCGTATGGATGTGAGGCTAATAGACATTTATCATGAGTCTGGATAGAATAGATTAACAATAGGTGAAATATGTACAAGTCGAGAGAGTAAACCATCTTAGATTCTTTAAAAAAAACTATTTTATAGATTTAATTTTATGTATTGTGTTCCTCCTTGATCAGAGGTCCCTAGGTCAACTTGTGATACTGTCACCTCACTGTGGCACCCTTAGATGCTGCTAGCTGTCTTTCCCCTTGATGTAATTTCTTTGTTTTATAACATAGCCTTTTCTTTTTTGTCTGTTTCAGATATGAGAGGTTTCATGACGTCGCACGGCCAGCCCGATCAGTCCAGATCGGCCCGTTACGTCCTGAAGGATTATGTGAGCGTAAGTTCACAACTGCAAACTGTTGTGGGTTGGAAAAAACACACAGTTATGTTGCTTGTGTTTACGTTTTAATTTTGGACTGTGGTTGAGTGAGTGTGGGTCATTAATGAAATGTTTAGCCTAACAAAGTGGGAGGAAAAAACAGATGAAAATTCTAGGAGAGATAAATAAGTTATTTTCATCTTGGCTCAGCTCTGCCACCTGCAGCGTTAAACAGTGTAGCTGTAGCACATCTGTGGTTCGGCTATGTGACTGTGGAGGTCTTCAGTCTTTTGTAAGGTGTAGCTGTTCTCTTGTAACCACTGAATTTGTTGATTTGACCAGTTACCAGTCTATTATGCATCATGTTTACAACGTTCTTTGCCTAACATAGCTCTTTTCCTTACAGGGCAAGCTTCTGCACTGCCATCCCCCTCCACATATAAAAGCTGAAGACTTCCAGCCGCAGCACAAAAAGTTTGAGAAGAGAGACTCAGACAGCAGTGACCTCTCCACAGTAATGAACAGACAACACAAAATTAAGAGAATCGAAAACGTGGTTGACAAGAACTTTTTCCATCAGGTAAATTATTCCTGCTGATCTCTTATTTTTGGTCAGATGTTGTAATATAAGCTATATTACCAGAAGTCTTCTGTCACCCATCCCAATCATTGAATTCAGGTGTTTCAATCACTTCCAGGCCCACAGGTGTGTAAAATCAAGCGCCTAGTCACGCGGACTGCATCAACAAACATTTGTGGAAGAATGGGATGCTCTCAGGAGCTCAGTGAATTCCAGGGATTGAATGCTAGTTGTGAAATTTCCTCACTAATAAATATTCCACACTTAACTCTTAGGCTACGTTCACACTGCAGGTCTTAATGCTCAATTCCGATTTTTTTTTTTATCAAAACCGATTTTTTTTGTCTGCTTGTTCACACTACAAATAAAATGCGACAGCAAACGCGCTCTAGTGTGAACGCTCAAAGCGGCTTGCATGCGCAAAAGAAGACGTCACACACAAGGCGCTCTGTTTAGACCCAGAGCAAACAATATTGTTTGACTGATGGCCTTAATATAAAGACTTCAGACTTCACGTTTCCAATTTTTGCTTTAAGTTATTTTGTTATTTACATAATAATGTAAATAACCTAATAATTATGCTTATTGCTGTTTTAGAGGAGCGGTGCTTCAAAGGATAGCTGCAGATTTCTGTCAGAATCTGCAGATTATACAGTACAAATAAAATGTTCACGTTTCTCCAACGTTGTCTTCCCAACAGTTTCACTGACATCTACACTGGATGGCCAGGAAGCGTTCGCAATGTCTTATCGGGTTCTTCTCCGGCACTGATAATTGGCGTCTGTCTTGTGTCAGTGACGTAAAAGATGGATTTAATGCGACATGACCGTTCAAACAGCAGTCGCTTTCTAAAACATCGGATATGTATCGGATTCAGTACCACATACGAAAGTGACCCAGATCGGATTTGAAAATATCGGATTTGAGCCGTTCACACTGTCACACCATGATCAGATATGGGTCGCATAGGGTCAAAAAAAATCAGATTTGATGCGCTTTCGCCTGCAGTGTGAACGTAGCCTTAGTGGTATTATAACAATGTGGAAGCCACTGGGAATGACAGCAACTCAGTGGTAATCTCACAAATCCACTTCTGGAAGAATGGTCAAAAATTCCCATAAACACACCTAAGCCTTTTGGAAAATCTTCCCACAAGAGTTGAAGCCGTTATAGCTGCAAGGGTTGAATGGACATCATATCAAACTCTATGGATTAAAAATGGGATGTCAGTCAAGTTCACATGAGTGTGAAGGCAGACGAGTGAACACTTTTGGTAATATAAAGTGTGTCTGCAGCAGAGGAGCAGTTTATTACGAAGTTAAATGATTTTTTTCTTCTTGTTGATGATGAACCTCTGTTTAGGAGAACGTGCGGGCACTCTCCAAAGGAATTCAGTCTGTGATGGGCTACAAACCAGGCAGTGGACCTGTGGGTCCAGGCAAAGCTGAATCAGAGATGGCAGTGGGCAAACCCTGGAAAAAACACGGCAACAGGAACAAGAAGGAGAAAGTGCGGCGGATTACTAAGCATCTGGATGCCTGATTATGATCAGAAAATCTAAGTTAATTTGAGCAACTTAGATCTGTGAACTGTACTTTAGGAAAAACCCTGAAGCACGGTTCATGTGTGATTCCAAGGGAATCAATTCTGAGTGCTTTGTGTAGATGAAGGCCCCCTTTAATCCTGTGAGTGTGGAAAAGTCAGGCCGTCATGACATTAACTAATGAGGTGCATAATCTGTCGGCTCTGGTTTTAACAAAATGGTGCAGTGCACTCCGTCAGGCTGATCACCAGTTAAAGAGCAACCAATCGATTCAACATCCAAAATTGTATTCAAGGAGGACATAAAGTCTCTATGAATCAGTTAAAATACTGTATGTTGACTTTTATACATTTAAAGCAATGCTCTTTGTAACTTAACCGGGTTACGTAGAATAAACACATGCTTTCATGTTGGTGTGACACTTTTTTGTCATATTTCCATAACAATATATTACTTAATGCTTCAGTGTAAATACAATATTTTGTATTTGTAATAGAAGACTATGAAATAGCAAGTTTTGTAATCTGAGTAAGTTAGACTTTGCGAACTACCCGAACTCCTTCATGGGATGCATTTTTAATTTCTCCTTGCTCTTTGGGATGATTGGGACCTGATGAATGTAAAAACAAAGAATGATGTGATTTTTATTTTTTTGTGTCAGATTTTTGTTTCTGAGAAAAATGAGATCCACTCATGAGGACAATGGCTTTAAGTTTCGATGGAACAGAGGCAGTATAACATCCCCGTAAGTGGATATCAGGCCCTTGTAGAGCAAAATTTGCTATTTTGGTCTAGACAACCCAAAATGTAAAATGGACTGGTTCTTATATAGCGCTTTTCTCCTGGAGTACTCAAAGCACTCTATAAAACATGCCGCATTAACCCCATACACACCCATTCACACGAGCACTATTATCTATACAGGGAGTGCTTTCTAACTATCATTCATAGGGGTTAGTATCTTGCCCAAGGATATTTGGCATGCAAACTGGGGGAGCCAGCTGCCTGAGCTATAGCCACCCCTATAATATATATAATGTGATGTCCACATATGTGGACGCCAGGTCCTAGGAGGTTAAAGAAGTGCATGAGGGTTGTAGGTGTCTAAGCATCTGAGAGCATTTCTAATTCTTACTGTTTTTGAGTATTTATCAACCAGATAATAAATTTGGAGTTGATTTTCTTACCATCACAGAATAGCTACAAGCTACAAAATGTTGTAAACCTGGGAACAAGTGGGAACTCCCATGAGTGTCAAATTAATAATATACAATAAATAATCGCAAACACCCCTGACCTGTGGCAGTGATTTCTGATGTTTCTGTTTTTTATGTCTAATGTCTTTGCTTATATTGGTAGATAGACTGAAACCAGCTTGATTTATGAAGGGTTTATGTCTAAAGCAAAGACATTAGCTGTTTTTCGAGTATTTTTATGGCTCTGTTATTGTAGCTAATCTGTGTTCTAAATTATAATCGATCCAATCCTTTTTGACCACTTTAAATGTATTGAAAGAACAGCTGTATGTGATATTTGGTGAGATTTCTGCTGAGACTTGGATAAATAAAGGATGTATATAAAAGTCAATTTGCCAAAAACTGACTGCAGCTTCTACATTTGTGACAGGAACGTGCTTTGTGGCTCAAAATCACCTGTTATCATTCATGAGAGATATGCTTGACAGATCATAGCCCAACAACTCATTGACAACAATTTGTAGTCGTTTTTTGGCAAGCGGTCACTGTGATCAAGTGTAAGATTCCTGAAATGGACTAAGGTACACGCAATGCTCCTGATCGTAGCTATAAATGAACGCGCCTCTTTAAATAAATGGACGATGATTTATTTGTTGGCATCTCTAAACAGAAAGAGCGTAAAATCCAAATTTTCACTTGTGCCTTTGCACGTATTTCCATATATGACAGGTGGCACAGGTAAGCCCCTCCCTGTCGCGTGCGGGCCGTTTGGAGAGCTGCCGCTGTGCTTTTGATGAGCAAGAAGTCAAATGTTCATATTCCACTAGGAGCATGGCTCAGTTTCTGATCGGTTCTGCGGATTGTCGCTGAGCATTTGCGCTTAAAATGAAGAAAAGTGCGCACATCGCGGATGGTCAAGTCGGGGAACGATCAGACTATTTCCTGACTAGTTTGGTGGATTTTTGCGTGGATTCAGTTAACACCTGTTTGTCCCGTGACGCAGACACACTTTGCGTCCCTGTTGGTCTCACCTTTCTTTCTGCGCTGCTTTTGCTGCTATCATGTCTCCTGTAAGTAGATTATCATTAATCACCCACCGGCCCCATTCATTTAATACATATCTAACATTGACCTGTGGTAACTGTGAAGGTTCGTGTATCAGAGGTGCAAAATTCGGGGAGAAAATCCGGGAGAAACCGCGGTTTTCTTCTACTGCTTCATCGGTAACCTGTGCAGTACAACTGGAGCCATCCTGTCCAGGCAGCTGCATATACAGGTAACACAGTTCTACGTGTAACCAAGTATTTTCACTCTATTTATGCATTAAAATACCGTAACTCCTTATCGCTGCCCTCTCTGCAGATTTTAATGGGTGCTTTTGCTGCCGCTGTGGATTTTGTGAACTGTATTTTGTGGTGCTTTCCAGTGTTCCTGTGTTGGAATTCGAAAGCAGGTATGATTAAGAAAATTCCTTATCTTAATAATGCAAACCTTATCATTCCCAAACAATTTAGCAATTGTGCATTATTCAAAGTGCAGCAGCAAGGTAGCACAGGTGTTTAAATATTGTCATCCAGCCGACCAAACCCTTTTGGCAAAACAGTAGGTACAATTATCAGAGAGGCGCTACAGATAACCATACAAATGAACAGGGGACCTATTGAAATGCTTTCTAACTGTAACCGTCCTCTCTGGTGTTCTCTCTCAGAAAAAAGGCTGAGGATGATGAAGAGGAGGAGGAGACAGCATCTCCTAGCAGTGTGTGTCTTGATGGTAGTTGCAGGAGGTTTTCTGAAGTCCAGGGTCTCCCATACTTCAGCACTGCAGCCCGTCAAAGGGAGGACGCTGCTGCATGTTGTCCTTCAAGTCTCCAGCTGGAGTTCTTCAATGGTGTGGTTACACAAACAGACACATGTGAATGAGTGCTGTCACCTGGGTTGTTTTGTTGTTTTTGAATTGCCATTTTGCAGCTACTCTAAATGTCCTTCTGCTGCATCGTAAAACCGTCTGTCTGTAGGACAACACTGAAATCGTGGGTTACCTACTGGGGCTGCTGTCTTTTGTCATAGCCTGTACCTCCAGGATCCCCAAACTCTGCAGAGTAGTAAGTGACAAACCATTCACTTAAAATCATGTTACTGTTCTAATAAAGTTCCTAGTGTTATTTGTATTCTTCCTTTTAGTGCAATGGACATAAAGTGACCCACACTGCCATTTTCTCTGGACTGTTGTGCTCACTGGCTGGTGCCCTCTACACTGCAGCCATACTCCTCTGTGACACTCAGTTTAGATTTCTTATGAGAGCGATGCCATGGCTTCTGTCATCAGCAGGCTGTGTGACTCTAGACCTTCTTGTATCCTTACACAGTAAGTGTGACCACGCATCACTCAAACTGTGTAGAGATTCACAACTCACTTTGCTAGTATGGGGTCAGGCCTCATTTTGCCTTCAGAGCTTTGTGTCATAGATTCGACAAGGTGCTGGAAACATTCCTCAGACGTTTGAGTCCATATTGATGTGATTGCATCACGCAGTTACTGCAGATTTGTCAGCCCGACATCCATGATGTGAAGCTTTTGTTCCACCACATTCCAAAGCTACTGTGCATTCAGAGATCCTCTTCTGCTTGCCTAGACTGTGACAACTGACTGTTATTTGAGTCACTGTTTATTTCTCTGACCATTCTCTGTAAACCAGAATGTTTGGGAAACTCCTGGTAGATCAGCAGTTTCTGAAATACTCAGACCACCCCATCTGGCACCAACCATGCCACATTCAAAGTGACTTAAATCGCCTTCCTTTCCCATCCTGATGCTCAGTCTGAACTTCAGCAGGTCATTTTGACCATGTCTACATGTGTAAATGCATGAAGTTGCTGCTGTGATTGGTTGATTAGATACTTCCAATAACAAGTGGCTGAACATGTGTACCTAACAAAATTGATGGCGAGTGTGGATTCTCACTAAAACCGGGGCTACTGTCCATTACATCTAGATTTAGGTGATTTGCTTGAGTCTGTGCCAGTCATGCTGTGGTGTGGTTTGTTGACCTTTAACCTGTCATGTCAGATTGTAATTACTCATTGGTGCAAGAGAGGCTCCAGCAAGAAGGCTATGAGACTTTTTGCAGATACAGAGCGCCTTTTAGGTGGTTCACGGCGCCCTGCAAAGAATAACACTGCCATGAAGAGACAGACAAAAGAGCAAATTCCTTCATCAGCACAAACAAAAGTAAGCTTGTTTTGTTTAATCATACCACTTTTTTGTTATTGTGTGCGCAAGGCTGCTTCTCGGATTTCTCAGAGTGAATTTAATAGCTTGTTTTCAATCAGACTTCCATAATAAACATGCTTTTTACTGTAATATCGATAATATTGGATTTTTACTTACTGCTTTCTTGTGTGGATTAAGTTATTTGGAAGCAGCACTATGCAGGCATCGTTCTGCAACAAACACTATTAGCATTGTTCTTCTAATAGTGTTTGTTTACTAAAGCCTTGGTGTGACTATAATAGTATTCTTTTTCTTCAAAGATAAAAAATCTCCAGAAGATGAGAGAGGTGGGCCAATACATGGATGTCAACAGTCAACCTGCGAGAAAAGTAAGCAAAGAATCTGTTGTGACACTACATTTTTACAACAGCAGTTTGTTTGATAGGAACTCTTCACTGCACACCGTTATTCTTCAAATACTAGATGTGCTTTCATTTTTGAAAATGCCCCTCGAGAAGGTGACGTCACCCAGGGGAGACGTGGGAAGCGAGCCTCCCAGCAGGAGGGTTGGGGCGATCAGAGCCGACGGCTTCTGCTCCACAGACACATCCTGTGACTCCTCGCCGGTCAGCTCGGATCTGGAGGTGACTTGGACTACTTGGATACAATCACTTAAATTAAGAAATGAATCAAATTTATCACTAAATAAACATTTCTCCCCCTCTCTCTAAAGCTATGATATATTTTCAAAAAGCTGGTAATCTTAATACATCAGATGTCAGTTCTCACCGTGTAAAGCAGGGGTGGGCAACTCCGGGCCTTGAGGGCTGGTGTCCCTGCAGGTTTTAGATGTGTCCTTGAACCAACACAGCTGATTTAAATGGCTAAATTAGCTCCTGCAGTTCTTCAGAGGCCTGGTAATGAACTAATCATGTGATTCAGGTGTGTTGACCCAAGGTGAGATCTAAAACCTGCAGGACACCGGCCCTCGGGGCCTGGAATTGCCCACCCCTGGTGTAAAGGATAGCTATAATATGTAGTTATTCCAAAGTGCCACTAGGTGGTGACAGCATGTTTGTATGCTGGATAGTGTGCATGGCTGTTATAAAAATATGAATGAACATAACCCTTTGTGTAACGCCACCTTACATGAAATGCTGTGATGACCTGATTCTGTTAGTATGAGTCTTTTTATGAGTTTAAGCTATTGAGTCATTTGCACAACAGCAGTGGTGAAGTTCCTAAAGAGGTAATGACTTCATGACTCATTATCATAAGCCAGGGGGTCTGGAGTCAGCTTGTGGAAATGGTGAATAAGAATGGCACTGACAAAGCTGCCTATGTTTTAGTGCCACTTTAGGATTGAGATCCTTTATTATAAAGGAATGGTATTGACTGTCTGTGTATGAAAATGCAGCAGTCAGAAGAATTCGTAAGTGGATGTAATAGTGCAACTATGCTTAGTGCTTTGCACATGTGATTTTGGGGGAAGTAAGTCAGAAGACAGCCCTCAGACTTTCTTATAAGGAGACAATAGTCAGCATGTTCTTATTGGACAGACAAGTTGAAGTCTATGGAGAGATGTGCGTGTGCATGTGGTTTTCTGAGTGCAAGCTCAGTGTTTTGTATTTTAGTTTTCTGCAGTGTATAGCTGAGCCAGTATCAAATCTTCACTAGTCTTATTTTAGAGAACAGTTCGTATTTATATAGTTTTCTCTTTTTTGAAAAACACAGTCTGAGTTTGCAAGAGGATTCAAATTCCAAGTGTTTTTTTTTTCTTTGTCAGGCCTTTATGCTCATAAAAACTCCCTTACTAGAAAGCCAGGCTATGGAGGATGTCATTTAATCAGAAACAAAGGCAAATGGTGCAAGCACAAACAATCGCAGGTTGATACTGTTCACCAAACAGGAAAAAACAAAAGACATGAATGCCCTTTTAGCACAGTTGGTTTGTTCGAGAAGTAAAGGCGATTTGGAAAAGTGTAAGTTTATGCTGAATGTGACAAAGTATAACTTTGTTTGGCTGTGAACACTCAGCTTAATCTTCACAAAGACAACAGGAGGCAATTTAAAGTTTAGCCGGGCCGTTTCTGTCTGATGCACTTGGAATTTACTGATGCTCTTTACTCGATCTTACAAAGAATGATTCTTTCCAAGATGACTTTGTGTCTAATGTTTAATCCTGATTACAAAGAGCTCCAGAGGAGTTCAGGTCTATCAGTGAATCTTTTGCTTTTTATTTGGTTACCTAACTTCCTAACAGCCTTAAAGCAAACTGGGAACTAAAACAAAGATTACAGAGCATTTTTTGAAGTATTTAAATGAGTGGCTTTTCCTACTTTACATGTGATCCTGATAATTGGACAGTCGCCTCAGCCGGCAGCTTGAAACCTCCATTGTGCTGTGTTTCACGCACATTACTGCTGAGTTCTGGTTCTTGGCTGAGCTGAGGCTTAGGGCTACAGTGATGGGTGGAATTGTTTGAGATTTGCCATGTGGTCCAATTGTTCTGCTGTAAAGGATCTTTGATTAAAGACCAACAGTGGGCTGGGTCTGTCTGCCTAGGAAGTGGTGCAAAATGGTTGCCTTGTCTATAGGGGGCCAGTACCCTCGGCTATTTTGGGAGATGTTTATAGTCTGTTGTTTGACTCTCGCTGGCCAGGAATGTCACTGTGTGAACAATACAAGACCTGTGTTGTAGGTGTCGAGTTGACGCTCTCATGGGGCATGATTCAACACGACCACCATTGATGAGCCCCCTTAGAAAACTAAGGAACACTTAGTGTATGGTACACTTCTGAGCTGCCTCCCGATTCATCAATACATACTTTGTTTGTATTTTAAATCAACATTAGGGTGCATTAATATATCATATGTGCCATGTGATTATCGCCAAATGCTTTTATAGCGTAGCAGACACATTAGTCTCAGAATATTAGCTGTTTATATGACTTTGCTATAATTCTTTGTACGATTACTTTGACATGTTCTTATTTTCTAGTGGGATTTTGAAGCAGCAAATACACACTGGAGCAAAGCAACAGCAAAACAACAGGAGGGTGACGAGTTTCCCCTGCAAGAGTGGCCGACAAACCCCGAACCGTTTAACATCTGCGCCCGTTCCCCGTCTGGACTCGCACAGAAAGCTCTATCTGGTACGGAAGAGTGTGGCTCTGTTGTAAGCTTAGCTAAGTGAAGTTCACACATGCTGAGTGCAGTAATTTGTGAATAAAAAAATAAATAAAAGTGCAAAAATAAATCTGTCATCTGTCTTGTTTTACAACAAAAATTACTGATTGTTTTTGGTTTAAAGTTATTTCACGTACCTTTTTTTGTTTCTAACACTGTAGAGAAGCACAAACGTAAAGCTCCTGAAGACGTTCGGCCTTTTAGAAAGGTTTACAGAAAAGACCTTCCCTAATAAAACACTATTACTCCCCTGCTGCCATTCAAGGTTACTGGGTCATATCCTGTATTTTGCTAGTCGACCTGGGTTATCGGGGCTGGACTGGGAAAAGAGCCGGCAGAGCAGATAAGAACCAGACTAGACGCCCGGAGCTTGTCTGTCCTCTCCATCATTCAGCAGACCTCCGTCCATCTGCCTGCTGTGAAGCTTTATGAAATAAAAGTTACTAGAGGCATTTTTAACTAAAGGGACTTCCTAAGGCCTGATTATGGAACAATTACATTTTTACTCCTCCCTGTTACATTTCCTCAAGTGACAGGTCTCAGACTAATGACTGGGAAACAACTAATGAGATGTAACAAAGCAATTGCTGATATCAGCAGTGGATATTAATGTCCTTAACAACTGGCTCTGTCTGTGGAAATGGCTGGGAAATGTTTATTGAATTTTATTTGATCTGACAGTGTTGATGTTCAGGCCATGTGATTTATCTACTTTGTTGTTTGTTTTTTAATAATAATGAAGGTAATAATATTGTAATAATAATATTGTAAACAACCCTATTGCTCAGCTATACTGATGCTAGTATTCATGATTACACAAGTGCTAAATATGCTAATGCTAAATATACACTCACTGGCTAACTTATTAGGTACACTTTGCTTGTGCTTTTGCTTTAATTCTTTGTGGCATAGATTCAACAAGGTGCTGAAAACATTGATCAGACATTTTGATCCATGTGATGACATCATACAGTTGCTGCACATTTGTCAGCTGTACATCAATGATGAGTCTCCCACTCCACCACATCCCAAAAGTGGATTAACTGTGGAGGCCACTTGAGGACAGCATATTTTATGTCACATTTTAAGAAACCAGCTTGGCAGGATCTGAGCTTTTTGGCATGGTGCCTTATCCAGCTGGAAGCATCCACTAGAAGATTGGTACAGTTGATCACAAATGGATGGGTATGGTAAGCAACAGTATTCAGGTAGGCTGTGATGTTTAAACAATGCTCAGTTGGTATTAATTGTCCCAAAATGTGCCACACCATTACTCCCAGCCCACCAGCCTGAACCACTGATGTAAGGTACATTTTTCCACTCTTCTATTGCCCATGACAATTCTAGACTCAGTTTCCTCATGCTAGCTGACAGGAGGAGAACCTGGTGTGGTCCTCTGCTGCTGTAGCTCATCTACTTAAAGGTTCAGCGATACCTTGGTTTTAACAAGTGGTTACTTGAGGTAAAGTTGCCTTACTTTCAGCTTGAAACACCCTGGCCACTCTCCTCTTGCTTCTGGCATAAACAAGTCATTTTCATCTGCAGAGCTGGCTATTTTCTCTTTTTCAGACTATTCTCTGTGAACCATAGTGATTGTTGTGGGGGAAAGTGCCCCCACAATCATTCCAGAATTTCTACAAATGCTCAGACCAGTTCATCTTGCAGCAACAACTGTGCCACGTTCGAAGTGACTTAAATTATTTTATCTCCATTCTGTTGCTCAGTTTGAACTCAAGCAGGTTGTCTTGACTGTGTCTACATGCCTACATGCATTGATTTGCTGCCATGTGATTGGCTGATTAACGAAGATTTAAGCAGGTGTGCTTAAGAAGATGGTGTATGCATTTATATTAGAGATGGCACGATACCACTTTTTTATGTCCGATACCGATATCATAAATTTGGATATCTGCCGATACCGATATGAATCCGATATAGTGGTTTTTAATCAATAAAACTGTTTTTTTAATATCTTGCTGCTTTTTGTACAAGTTCATACTCAAGTAAAAAAAAAAAAAAAAACTAAAGCTATTCTGTTATACCTGTATGCAAAAAATGCACTGCACCCAAAATATTTCATAGTTCAGCAATACTGATCAATCTAATAAACTTAAACCTGCACCATCCTCCCTATTCTGGTATTTTAAAGAGTACTTAGCAGAAATATTAAGCAACCTGACTAATAGGGCTCTAAAACTCCCAGCAAAAAAAAATAAAATAAAATAGGGAACCACCCCGCACCCTCCACCTCGTGATGCTTAATCGACGTCATCAACTTTAATTTGATGCAGTGTGAAAAAAATGCACAGAAATAAATTATTTTTCAAGAATAATTAAATAGATTCAACATCTTTCTTCAACAGAATTGTAGACTGCACAGATGGTACCTTCCCAAAGGAAAAAGTACTATAGCTTACTAGGGTATATTAGAACTAATAGTTACTTCTATACATTTTACATCAGATTAAAACTTTGGGTGTAAGATTCGGATAATTTTTTATTAAAAGCTCGACATTTAAAATGAGAATAAGAAAGAAAAGGATGTCTTTGTGCCCCCTTTTCCCTGTTAATGCCCTATCGGCCCCCCTGACTAAACGCCCCTGCACAGTTACCAGCCGTCAGCTATGTAGAAAAAGATCCTGGTGTAGAAAGTAATATTAAATAAATTCTAACAACAGATTATCAAGGTTAAAAGTGCTGCTGTTGTTCAGCCGCTGGTTTCCTCTTTCTGGCGCAAAGTGGGCCAAAAACAAACAAGAGAGAAAAGCCGATCAGCTGATCATTGATCAGTTTCATGATTGAAGTAGCAGCAGGAGAGGGAGGGGGAGAGAAGAGGCAGTCGCTCCATAAATCGGTTGTTAAGCTTAACGCGGGAATGCTTTACAAACATTCAGAGATGAACTTACACACTTGCTTTACTTCTCTCTGGGATCACTTCCTCGGAGATGAAATGCTGGTTTGGTAGCGAGGCTGCAAATACACACAGCCCCTCTATCACGTGACCACATTGCTGCGACGTGCTACGGTTATGAGCCGAGTTACGCCATGTCACAAGTTTTGTGAGGGGCTTTTTTGATATTTAATGGATCAATTACATTTTTTATTTGTCTCTGATATCCGATCCAGTAATTTACGTCAGTATCGGACCGATACCGATACGTAATATCAGATCGGTCCATCTCTAATTTATATATCTGCAATAGATTTGTCTTAACTACCTTTGAAAAGTGAATGCACAAAAGCTTATCGAATGTTGATGAATATGGAGATATCCCATGTCTGTAGCTGTATAAGTCTTCAGATCAGTCATTGCAACCATAGTAACAGATTGACTGTAATTCTATATTGAAAAAAATATGTCCTGAACCTTTCTGTTGGAGACTTGGCAATTAAAACTTTTTACCATCTTAAAAATAGACCCAAAGTCAAATTGTCATTTAGGGGTCCGATGCCATTACAAACGCTGAGCTAGCATGGCTTGATCTGGGCCTCATGTCAGTCCCTTCTGAGGCCAAAAGAAAACAACCCGTGTGTCCCATATAAAAAGGTGGAATTTTGTTTGCAAAAGTGATGAAGAGTCTGGATTAGCACATCTGAAGCTGCAGTGGGGAGAGGATCTTTTTGTTTTTCTTGGCCCTTTGTCAGCGACCACTCCACTGCAGAGCATGCAAGGCACTGAGTGATTCGATCCTGCAGAACATTTTGTTCACCTTGAAATTTGGCTAGCAAAGGGGGGAGGTGAATTGCACAGGAGTGACACAATAGTTGAAGTGCACAAGTGAGGAATAAATCAGAAACTAAATCTTCACTCATGAATACATGGTTGTTACTGAATAAAGGATTATATAATCGTGGGTTGCTGAATTTCTTTGTCAAAGGAGCAACTGATTTGGCATGTGTTTTACAAATGGGGTATATGAACTTAAATTGTGTGTTCACTGCTTTTGGCAGGAGAAAGAATTATCTAGTTTTTATGAAGCTTGGCTGAATTAGGGATTAAATATGTCAAGTTTTGATATCTTAATTTCTTTTGATCAGTTCTTTGTAAGCCCCCAAGATTTATGAAGTTGCAAAAAGCAGAAAGCATTCAACATGTGCTCAATAAACACAGTGAAATAACTATATTTGTGACTCTCACCTGGTTTAGTGTGCGCTACTATTCATGACAATATCATGGTGAAGTTTAGTGCTAGACTAAAGTGTTAATGCTATCTTATTTTAATAAACAACACTGCCACACTGTCATATGTGAAAAACTAGGGTGGCACTAGGGGTGGCACATGCCACCCCACGCCACCCCACACTGTCATATGCAAAACTAGGGTGGCACTAGGGGTGGCACATGCCACCCCACGCCACCCCACACTGTCATATGCAAAACTAGGGTGGCACATGCCACCCCACGCCACCCCACACTGTCATATGCAAAACTAGGGTGGCACATGCCACCCCACGCCACCCCACACTGTCATATGCAAAACTAGGGTGGCACTAGGGGTGGCACATGCCACCCCACGCCACCCCACACTGTCATATGCAAAACTAGGGTGGCACATGCCACCCCACGCCACCCCACACTGTCATATGCAAAACTAGGGTGGCACTTGCCACCCCATGCCACCCCTTTAGATCCGCCCCTGATCCACAGAGCCTTTATACTCACTTTCTTCTTACTCAAAACTGACCAAAGCAAAAATACTTTAAACAATGAAAGCTGGAATAAGCAAACCTGCTCTGAAAACTATGTAGAACGTAAAACAAACAAGCAAAAAATACAACGAAAAAGGACGATGAACAGCTGACAGAGCAGATATTTGATACCCCGAATCTCGGGAAACTCTAAAACTCTTACTCTATTTAGCAATAAAGCGTTTGATGGCTTTCGTCATCGCTTCTTCTTGAGAAACTCTAAAACATTTTCGTAAATAACCAATAAAAAATCTGTACTTCCTCCTTACACTGATATTGTGCGTACACTGTGCTGTGTTAGAGGCATCACTGACTCCTTGCTAGCCCAGCATTATTTTATTTATTTATTTATTGCGTTCAAGGCTATAGCATAAGGCAGCGTTCCCTTTGCAGCTGTTATA